TCTAAAATAATGATGATGATGATGATGATGGCAGCAGCAGGCGTCAGCATGGCCACGGCAGGTGTCAGGACCAGGGTCCCGAAGGAGACCTGATAGGGAAGAAAGCACAAAAAAAAACTCCCGGAAAGAAGCTGAATTAGTCATGTGCATTAATAAAACTTGAAATATGGTAGAACGAGAGCGTGAGAGAGGAGCTTGGTGTGTCCTAAGAATTCCCCCGGCATTCTAAGCCTATAGCAGCTTAACTAAGGGCTGGTCCGGACTAACCTGAGCCAGCCCTAACTATAGGCAGAATCAAAGAGGAACTTTTTAAGTTTTACTTTAAAAGAGCTGACCGAATCTGCCCCCCGGGCTGAAAGTAGAACCTGGTTACACAAAAGAGGAGCTTGATAACTGAAGGCTCTGGCCCCCAGCCTACTTTTTAAAACCATAGGAACAACAAGTAACCCAGCATCTATGGAGCGCAGTTGCCTTGTAGGGCAATACGGTGTTACAAGCTCTTGAAGATACAACGGTGCCTCACCAGCAAGTGCCTTGTAGGTGAGGAGAAGTACCTTAAAATCTATTCTTGATTTAACAGGGAGGCAGTGCAGAGAAGTTAATACAGGAGTGATATGATCCCTTTTCTTAGTTCTTGTTAATACACGTGCTGCAGCATTCTGAATCAACTGGAGAGGCTTAAGAGATTTACAAGAGCAGCCTGATAACAAAGAATTACAGTAGTCCAGTCTGGAAGTGACAAACGCATGAACTAATTTTTCTGCATCACTTTGAGACAGGAAGTTCCTGATTTTTGATATGTTACGTAGATGAAAATAGGCAGTCCTTGAAGTCTTCTTTATATGCGAGTTGAAGGTCATATCCTGGTCGAAGAGAACTCCCAGATTCCTGACGGTGCTGCTGGGTACCAGAGCAATTCCATCCATAAAAACTGTATCACGTGACAGCTGGCTTCGAAGGCGCTCCGGGCCTATCAGGATAACTTCCGTTTTTTCTGAGTTTAGCATCAGGAAGTTGCCGGTCATCCAAGTTTTGATATCTCCAAGACATTCTTGAAGTCTAACTAACTGGTCCGTCTCTTCTGGCTTGATCGACAGATACAGTTGAGTATCGTCTGCATAACAATGGAAGTTTATGCGGTGTTTCCTGATAAGATCGCCCAAAGGAAGCATATAGAGGGTAAATAAAATCGGTCCAAGTACAGAACCTTGTGGGACTCCGTGACCAACATTGGTGGTGTTTGAGGATTCACCGTTTACAAGCACAAACTGGGATCGGTCCGATAGGTAGGATTTAAACCAGCTGAGTGCAGTCTCTGCAACAGGATACAATGGTCTATGGTATCAAATGCGGCACTGAGGTCCAGCAAGACAAGAAAAGAGATGAGTCCTTGGTCCGATGCAAGTAGAAGATCATTCGTAATTTTTACCAGTGCGGTTTCTGTACTGTGATGCACTCGAAATCCTGACTGGAAATCCTCGAACAAAGCATTGTTTTGTAGAAAGTCACATAATTGATTTGCGACGGATTTCTCAAGGATCTTAGAGAGGAAGGGAAGATTAGAGATAGGTCTGTAGTTAGCCAACACCTCTGGAGCATGAGTAGGTTTCTTAAGAAGAGGTTTAATTACAGCTACCTTGAAGGACTGTGGTACATGTCCTGTCAACAAAGACAGATTCATAATATCTAATAAGGATGTGCTAACTAAAGGAAAAACTTCCTTAAGCAGTTTGGTCGGAATCGGATCCAAGAGACAAGTAGAAGATTTAGACTTTGAAAATAAAGAAGTCAGTTGATCAAGGTTGATGGAAGAGAAGGCATCCAAACAGGCATCAGGGCCCACTGCTGCATCCAAGGTTCCTACATCGGAGGACAGGTCGGCACTGGTTGAAGGCAGGAGACCATCAATTTTCTCTTTGATAGTCAGAATCTTATCATTGAAGAAGTTCATGAAGTCGTTACTAGTGAGGTCCAAAGGAATACACGGCTCGACAGAGCTGTGACTCTCTGTCAGTCGGGCTACAGTGCTGAAGAGAAACCTGGAGTTGTTTTTATTTTTCTCTATTAATGATGAGTAATAAGATGCTCTTGCGTTACGGAGAGCCTTCTTATACGTTTTAAGGCTGTCTTGCCAAACTAGCCTAGATCCTTCTGATTTGGTGGAACGCCATAATCGTTCAAGCTTCCGCACAGTTTGCTTTAGGTTCCGTGTTTGAGGGTTATACCACGGAGCAGACTTCCTTCTTGTTGCTATTCTTTCCAGAGGAGCAATAGCATCCAGCGCCACTCTCAAAGAGCCTGTAGCAGTATCGACAAAATTATCGATCTGAGACGGACTGAGGTTCTCACAGGAGTCTTCTTGTATCTTGAGGCAGGGCACTGAACTTGGAGCAGAAGGAATGGCTTCTTTAAATAAGGCTACAGCGGTATCCGATAAGCGTCGACTGTAGAAACCTTTGGCAGGAGGAGGTGGTTCTGATAGTAGAAATTCAAAGGTTATCAGACAATGGTCCGAGAGGAGAGGGTTCTGTGGAAAAATTGTTAAATGTTCAATCTCAATCCCATACACAAGAACCAAGTCGAGAGTGTGGTTAAAACAGTGAGTTGGTTTATTTACACACTGACAGAAACCAATTGAATCTAACAATGAAAGGAATGCAGTACTAAGGCTGTCGTTGTCGACATCCACATGAATGTTAAAGTCACCCACAATAATTACATTGTCCGTTTTAAGGACCAAACTCGTTAAGAACTGTGAAAATTCAGAAAGAAATTCAGAATAAGGACCTGGGGCCCTGTACACTATTACAAAGAGAACCGGCTGGATTATTTTCCAGGTCGGTTGCGAAAGACTGACCGTTGTCCATCGGTACCAGATCTGTATGCTCTAAAATCGACTTTTAAATGAAAATATCGATACCTTTGATACTTCAGTAATTTGTGGTAATGTATATTATTAACAGGAATTGGGTGGAAAGTAACTAAACTATTCAGGTCTTGTCTAAATGACACGCCACTGGTAGGGACTACTTTCCCTTCCGCCTGGGTAAGTGCCTAATACCTAAACACAGTGGCACGCTGACGCTGCTGCTCGCTCTCTCAGACAGAGAGAATGTCGGAACGGAAGAGAAGTCATGTGTGCAGCTATTTCAGTTCCACAAACAGCCAGGATGCTCTGTGTGACATCTGTGGAAAAACCCTGAAGAGTTGTTTCAACACAACCGACCTAGTGAAACACTTACGAACAAACCACAACACTGAATATGAGACATTTTACTGGCAATTCTTGAGTCACCCAGAATTATAAAACAGCAAGTGTTTATTTCCCCTTTTTCTAGGCTATTTGGAGAGACATGCATGCATACATATGCACACATACATAGTTGAAACAAAATAAGATTAAGATTTCAGTACAGTGTAGCCCGCTTGTTAATTTTGTGCTGTGATTTGAAGATGATTCCCCAAGAGCAGCAACACTCACAAGATGCCTGGCAGAGATGATTGCGGAGGATCTCCAGCCTCTGTCCATAGTGGAAGACCAAGGTTTCCAAGGATTTGTGAGAGCTCTTGACCCAAAATATAAACTCCCAGGAAGAAAGAAACTGACAGAGACCCATCTTGTAGAACTGTTTGATGAACGCAAAGCCAAAGTAAGGCATCTTTGCAAAATGATTCTAGCGTTGTACTTACCACTGATATGTGGACCTCAGTGTCCACAGAGGCATATTTGACCGTAACATGTCATCTCATTGAAAACTGGGAAATGAGGGATTTTGTTTTGGAAACCCAAACTTTCAATGGGCAGAATACAGCTGACAGTATCAGTTTAGCGCTTAAACGCATCGCAGAAAAAGAGTTTTTTTGGGGACTTTTTTCTCCTGTCAGGCAGTGAAGTAGCAAAGGATGTACGACAGCCCAGTGAGGAAAATATGATGCTGGACCAAATAGAACGGAGTTAAACACAGTGGTTAAGATGTGATGAAATGTGATGTTATGTTGTGTTTACATGATGAAGCTTTAAGCCAAAGCTGTGATCATTGAATGTGTTGTAGTAAGTGAACAGGGATCGATCAGGTCAGAGGGATTCCAGATTCCACCATCAGATGGAGTCAGGACGGAGTCATGTGATGTTCTGGAGCAGAAAGGAACTCACGAGGGCGGAGCTGGGCTTGAATGTACACCAATCACATACGACAACACCACAAGGGACACGCCCCCCCCCCGGAGATTGGAGGAGCTGAGCTGGAGGAGAAGGAGACAGAAGCCTCCTGTGAACCAATATTGATGGTCACAACATTTTTTTCACTACTCATACTTTATTTCACTTTGTTACTGTATTTCTTATTACTTCTATTAGTTTTTAAATTCTTTATAATTTTTAAACTGCTGACTCTTTATAACTTGTCGTCTCAGAAGGTTCGAGGGTAACAGAAGTGATCCTTGATCAGAGGTTCAGAACTCCACACATCTCAGCCTGAAATAATATTTCATGCTCCAGAGGTGAAGCATATCTTCCTATTTAGATGGAATGAGAAGTTTAGCTTCTCTATCAGCATTTTATAAGCTGAGGACGTACACAGGAAGTCTCCCCGTGGACCAGACGTCTCCTTTCAGAGACGCTCGGTTCAGCCTATGCGGTCGTTGGAGGACACGGCGCAGGTCGACTGCAAAGGCTGAGTCCTCATGAGGACGCTGCCCACCAAAGGAGACACAGCCACAGGTTGTGAGTCTGTTGGTGACCCACAATCAACACTTGGTTCAGAGCGCACTGCTGAGTGTAAAAAGACACCTGCATGCAAGTGTTCAAATCCAACACTTGATGGCGACCTTCTCTCACACCCAACAGGAACGGACTGAGAGCGTCCCTAGAAAGGACAAGTCCTGAAGACATTTACATGACAAGAAGTGCACCTGCTGTCTCATGCTATGTGTGAAGTGGACTGTATCATAGTAGTTATTGAGGGACATGAGCAGATGTTCATACTAGCTGGCTGCGTTGGTGAATGTGACATATTTAATAAAAACAGCTCAAGTCGCCTTTGTTGCTCTAATAAATGTATTTCAGGATGAAGCTTTTTATTCAAATATCTATTTAGTACAATATGCAGCTTTGTTTCTTGTAACCAGCACACACACACACACACACACACACACACACACACACACACACACACACACACACACACACACACACACACACACACACACACACATGTTTATTTCCCATTAAAAAGACTTCAAAGTCAAACTATAGAAATCAATTCATACTAAGAACTTGATACCTGACTTACATGGTCTCCTTCTGTCTCTAAATGCAACTTACATCAACACCATTAAAGCCCTTTTTCCAAAACACAATCACACTTTACAGATGATATGTTTCAATTATCAAGCCAGTTTCTCACAGATCCATCGCAAAGCAGTGTTACACGACAAATCATTCCAGCTGTATTGTGGGTTAGGTTTAGGTTCTATGTCAGCGCAGTCCTCCCCCTCGATTGAACCTCCTCCCTCGTTATTAGGCTCAACTATATTGGCGTCACGGTACCAGTACCTAAGAGGAGGATAAGACATTTCACAGGAGTGTTCTCTTCACTAAAGCGGCCAAAATAACATTCAATGAATTTTAAAGTCTTTCCAGTAAAATAAAAATGAATAATAATATTTTCTAAGTGAGTTTCTTTGTGTAGTGCACAACAAATATTAGAAGAATTAGACTAAAGATTATGATAATAATAATAATAATAACAATAGATGCAGCAATAGTTGTAATCTTTAGCTGTGTATAATATTGTTGTGTTGCTTACGCTGCAGTCAGAGGAGTTCCATCAATCCATTTCCAGGTTCCCTCGATGTCTTTGTCACTCAAACCAATCCAACTACGACTTGTGGTGAAGTTTGAAAGGAATTTCTGTTGAAGATAAAAATATAAAATTCTGTAATTATTATTTTAAATGTATTAAGGAGGTTTAAGGATTTATTTTAAACATTGTGAAAATTAATTATATTACCAGCTCAATGTTATTCTAATGTAGGTATTATAGCTGATGAAAAGAAAATGACTTATCTGAATATTTGGTCTACATCAGTATTGACAAATATATAAACCCGTAGGGCATGAATACATCAAATAAAATATATCACAGGATGAAAATAATATAAACATCAAAAACAATTAAGTACTCAGATGTACTAATATTGTAGTGGCCAGTTGAGAAAAAGCTTCATTTGACTCTAAATGGACCATAATTTACTAAATGAACATCATGCTGGATTGAAGAAGACTTGAAACTATAGACTGAGACCATTAACTCATGTTTACAATGTTTACTGAGGGAATAAATCAAGAGAGAAGTAGAGTCATTTCCTCATAGACGTCTATGGGAGCAGAGGAGTCGCCCCCTGCTGGTCACTACAGAGAAGTAGAGTCATTTCCTCATAGACGTCTATGGGAGCAGAGGAGTCGCCCCCTGCTGGTCACTACAGAAAATGCAGCTTTTAGACAAATTGGCTTTAATTGTTAATGCCAAAGTTTGTCACACGGGG